AAGCAAGAGGGTTGGTTGGCGCTCCTTCGATGGAATTAAGAAGAAGCGGAGATTCGAAAACCTCAGAAACGAGGTACGAGGTTGTAACATTTCAACTCGTAAAATGTGTTTATACACTGAAAAAAAAATATTGGTGTCCTGAACAATCGTATTGAGTTCAAGTGAAATTTGTGGACGGCACCAATTTTTTTGCGTCCGCAAACCAATAAATTATGCCCATGCACCAACCCTATTTGTTACATAACAAGTCTAAAATTTGCATGGAGGGCATTTCGGAATAGTTAGGACCGGGCACAAATTTATTTGTTCTGTGCACAAATTTATTTGTTCTGTACGCAAATTTATTAATACCACCAATAATAAATTTGTTTCAAATTTCCGTTACATTTTTTCGTCAGTTGGAAAGGTAATGGCGTCGAGTTCGCGTCGTTCGTTGTTCGCGTCGGGAAAATCAAGAAGACTTTAATATAAAAGTGGATTATTAAATTAAAGACTGTTTTAAAATTACCGCGTATACCTCTCGTGGCCGTTTGTGCATCATTCATCGGATTTTCCTAACCCCTAATCATTATTACTTGTAAACAAACAAGAAGTTAGCAGACCATCGACAGCTAACGTCCTTGAGCCGGTCGTAAACCCACCAAATTCGGTCGGTAATGTGCATTTGGACGTGAAAATCTCAAAATTCCGCTCATTCTCTTCGCATAGGTAATAAGTTCTTCCGGAAAATGGATCGTTCATTCAAAACGTGCCCCTTTATCCCCAGTGTTGTGGCTGCATCATTCATAGCCGTTCTGGTTCCAGTGCTATATCGTGTGTCCTCCTCTCGAATAAAATTGATTATCATACTGCTTTTTGCTTCTCGATTAGCTATTATACAAACCTCACTTATGTGTGCCCTGCTTTGAGTGTATTAATTAACCAATGGATTACCAAAGTTGGATTTGCAGAGGGATCTCACAACTGATCTATTGCGAGTGGTGAGTCGTATATTTAGTTATCCTTTTAATGCTCAAGCTATATCTTCTATTCCAGATTCAAATGCATTAACATTAAAGTCCACTCATGAAAAAATGGACCACTTCTAGGTATAAAATACGATCATTTTCGAAAATTTCTGCAAGGCACTTCAACCTTAATTCTGTCATTTAAACAATACCCCCCTCTCTAATTAAATACTAATCGCATGCAGCATCTTGAAATATTTTTATTGAATTTTGAATTTCTAATACGTTTCACATTCATTTTTTAAATAAGCTATCATTTCTATCCAGTGGTACACCTTCTACAAGCGCCGCTGAACACCCCACAAGAGCCGTGCAATAGATCTCGAGTTAGGTTAGGTTAGGTTCCAACAAACGTATTTGTGCTGGGCACAAATTTATTTGTGCCCAGCGTAAATTTAATTGGTGACGGGCACAAATTTATTGGTGACGGGCACAAATAAAATTGGTGACGGGCACAAATCAAATTGGTGACGGGCACAAATTTAATATTTGCGTCCGACCAAAATCCAAGTTTGTATCCGGCACAGAAAAAACTTTGAGTGCGTTTCACACAAATATGAGTTGGTGCCGTACACCCAAATTTGAGCATACAACACTAATATTTTTTTTTCAGTGTACTGCGGGAAACTGTTGAGAATACTCAACTGAAAATTTTCTGCTCACGCGTAAAAGTATGCAAGTTATTGTACAGACATTGCAAACTGCATATCCACAGTGCGAAATCATCTATCTCCATCGCGCTGTTTCAAAATTTCTGGTTCCGCACTTTGACCGCTGATATTCTTCTGAAAAATTGGATTACTCGTGTCCATTCCGCAACGTTCGACTTCAGATACGTTTCTCGTCTGGGAAATGATGAAATACGCGAAAGAGGTGGCGGGCCGCCACTGGCGGCAGAGTTTTCAGCGAACGAATGAAAAAAGTCTTAAGCAGAAATTTCAAGAATCAAGCTCACGCAAAGTCCTAAAATCTACGGTTTAACCAAATAGGCCAGAAACATAATACCAGATGCAAGCATAGAACTTCGTCATCGTTAACATAGACTTGCCCTGAACTTTGGCTAAAGTAATTCCGCGAGCTGGACACGGCCGAGCTAACTTCAGCTCCGTTTAAGCGGGTTCGAGGAAGTCAAAAATGAGCTTATCCTTTGACTACATAGGTTCACCCGGAATTCGTCGAAAGAACTTGGCCCGCGTAAACCGTAAGAAAATCTGATCAAAGTAGTGGCGAAGCGTGAATGATCGATTATCGATATTCTCCAGTTTGAAGATATGGTTAAGAATCGATTATAAAGGTGCCCTGTTTATCGATCCTTTTCCATAGGTTTAAATGACAGATCAATCGATATATCGCGAAGCACGCCACGCCACTGGATCAAAGTTGTGGACCCCGGATTCGATCAAGTATAAACATAAGCACCTTCAATGGAATTACAAGCCCCGAGTAATAGAAGCACTTAACCTGCCTTAAGTGCCTTACTACGAGGTTCGGGGAAAATAATTTGGAGAGCGCTGTAATCCGTCAAGGAAACTATATAATGGCAAGAAAACGAGGGTTAAAACCTGGAATCTTTGTCCGAGTCACGTGTTTCCGGTTTTTCAGCGTGAAAGTGTTTTCAGAAATGAAAATTTTCATGTAATATCCAGAGGAAGGCGGGGTGACAATGGTGACATTGGAGTCCCGGCCCCCACCTAGCTGAATGTCGGGAGGCGTCAAGCTGAACACAAGCGCGCGCGCATTTTAAAATTAGTAGCGGCGAACTGAAATGATTCAAATAACAATTGAAAAAATGATAAAAATACCTAAACATGAGACAAAAAAGAGGAAAATCAAATACTGAAACAAAGAATACTAGAACTACAAATATTTCAACAACGATTGAAGTACATTAAAGACAAGTGGGAAAAGTGCAGTTTTTGGAAAAATTCAGGTATTGATGAGTTTATCTACAATTGGACGTATTTCTGTCAAACGGAACTAAGCGCCAATTTGAGTTCCTTTTGAGGAATTTAGAATGCCGGATAGCGCGTTCTGCCAAACGGGACTAAGCGCCATGGAAAAGCATTGCGAGTATAGGACGGAATAAGCCGGACGCCCGGTTCCGCCGCCAATCCAAGCCCCCCTCTACCTTCCTCCTCCGATGGCGCTTAGTTCCGTTTGATAGAAATACGTCCAATTAATCTTGAAATATGTTCCGTGACAGATTCATTATACTAATACCCAATTTTTAGGCACCAAGAAGTGAGTTTGAACTTCCTTTCCGCCATAAGGCTCCGTGTGTTTATGAATCTTTGAACACGTATTTCTTGTAATAGCAAACACTTCACTTATCCCACTTACCTTCCATGCCACTTAATTGAAGGCATGATTTGAAGTAGATTAAAACAAACATTGAAGTATATCAACTAAAGCTGGTTATTTTTACGCCAAACAATGATGGCTCTGACTGGGAGGTAAATACGAGACAAACTGACAAGGTACACTAATGATCATGCCTCTGGTCGAATTGTGAATGAGCGATGACAGCTTTTGGAGGATGATATTCCCCGTTATACTCAGAGCATGCGAGTCAAAAAGCTCTTGCATAAGCAAGACTGTCAATCCTGTGCCAAAGAATCACTTGTAGGTAATCGTATTAATATTTAAATAAAAAATAAATAATAATAAAAAAAAAAAAAAAAAACCATTAGGAAGTGGCCCGAACTGTATGTAAGAAGGTGGAGAAATGGTACTTGCCTCAGTGTCGTACTAGTACGCATTAGAGTTCAAAAAAATTTAATTTCGACTCTAATTATAATTTTTGGAACTTCTTGGCTTGGTTTTCCCCGCGAAATGGCGTGGACCCAGCACCATTTCTCCGCTTCTTGTTAATATTTAAATATACCAGCAGAAATCTGCGCAAATCTAATCAAAATACGAGTTATCGAATTTCACCATCGAAGTGAAAAGATTTTCAATGAAAAAAAATCACGGCAGTGGCATGGAGTGTTTTATGATACATCGATTGATCTGCCATTTAAACACATTGAGGAGGATCGATAAATAGGGTGTCCGCAACGAACACCTTAGTAATCGCTCTTTTACCATGGCTTCAAATGGGGAACTTATCAATACTCAAGTGATTCTCCGGCACAGTTCAGGGACTTAAGCTGAGTATTTCTTGCGTTTGGACACCCGAAAAACACTTATGAATGTTCATCTCGATCGACCATATCAGTGCGACTGCGAGTCGGGACGAACTACATGTCGACAGGGCGAGATGTTCAATACTCTACAATGCAGTGTTGTTGATTTTTTGCACAAAATAATTGATTAAATTGAATCGATTTTTTGCATACGATTTTGCAGCTGAATCAATTTTTTACTCACAAATTGAAATTTATTGATTTTTAGATTTTATGCATGCGAACAAAAATTTTACTTCAAGATAATTGAGGAAGCATTAAGCCAATATTATTCTTTAAAACTAAATGAAGCCTTCAACATTGCTTCAATTCAAGGGACCGTGAAATTATGCGCTCAATGAGACGAGAATTTGAGAAAAACGAACGGCACAATACTTATCCTGAAAATCGATTTTTTGGCTTTGATTTTTCTCTGAATTATCGATTTTTTGGTTTTAATTTTTCTGTGAATAATCGAATTTTTGGCTTCGATTTTCCATTTAAATCGATTTTTGTGACAAAATCGATGAATCGATGTTACAATGTCCTGAAAATCGATTTGTGGTTTTAATTTTTCTGCGAATAATCGATTGTTTGGCTTTGATTTTTCTGCGGATTATCAATTTTTGGGACAAAATCGACATTTTACATTTTAATCGGTTTTTCGTTACAAAATCGATTTTTTCAATTTCAATTAATTTTTTGGGAAAAAATCAACAACACTACGCTATACAGAAGATGGCGAGAGATGGCGATGATTCGAGTGTGGAGGGTGAGTGGTGACGTCATCACTGATATGGTCGAATGAGGTTGATCTAGAAACACTCACCCGGGCGGATCCAAAGCACCGCATGATGAAGGCTGGGAGGTGTGGTGCGCGAGAATGAGCCTGAGGTTGATTACTCTTGCACTAAGAGTTACCTAAAACACAAAAATAACACTTCATTACTTTTCAATTCTTACATGTTTTTCAGTCGACAATGGATAAGTTGCATGTGTGAGGAATTTGCTATTTCACTGCTGTTACTCATGTAAAAGTTTGCAAGAAACACGACGGTGCCACTGGTTTTCTCTAAATCAACTCCCAAGCTACGACAACTGACTATGAGAATGCCCTGATCCATGACGGATTTTCCTGATTTTTTCTGATGAAAACAAATGTCCTGATATTTGATAGTTTTCACCAATGGCACACGTCCTATCGAGAAAAATTGGGCTCCAAGCAGTACAGAAGGAGATTCCCGGTTTCCGGAACCGATTCTTTAATGGAGATGAGTGCTGAGGAAAAACACCGAATGTAAAAGCCTTCAGACGTTGCCATTTATCATTCAATAAAAAATACATATACTGGCCCTGGTAAAAATTGGCGATAGGAGCTGTGTTTCAAAATACCGTAGGAATTCTTGTAGCCAGCTAAAGAAGGCTACAGAAAATCATAGGGCTGGCTGTAGAATGCGGAGAAAATCATACAGCCGAGCTATACGAAGCGATAAAAAATTTTGCGGCCGGGCTATAGTTTCTATCGCCGGGCTTTACACTTTATCGCCTGGCTGTTGCTTTTTCGCCATCGGCTATAAAAGGCTATAAGAAATTGTGTAGAAATTCGTGTGCTTTGGAAATCATTAAGTTTGATACGGAACCTACCTTAATATTTACAAAACGCACATTATATTTTCCTTTAATAAATATTTTTTTTCCATCAATTAAAATGAGAATAATCCATACAGGATGTGCAAACATTTCAAAATAATGAGTTGAATAACACTGACTCCGCCAGATTAAATATTAGAGCCTAACACAAAGCGGAGCGGCGATGCACTGGTGCCTACAAACCTAACAGGGATACTTCACGCATACGCAACGCGTGAAGTATCCCTGTTGGGTTTGTAGGCGCCAATGCGCGTTTATGCCGCGCCGCAGCGTTCCAAGGCGCTTGAAGCAACTATTTCACACCAGAGGTATCGCACAGTATCATACGAAACTGAAGGCGCTCTAAGATATTGGGAGTGGCAGGCATCCATCAAAGGTGCGGAGCTATCCTCGCAAAATAAATCAAGATCACGGCCCAAAAAGAGAGCAGTAATCCAAAAACTCACTAAGTCCTACCATCCGTAATAATTAGTAACGTTCAGCATACACTTTATCGCCTGGCTGTTGCTTTATCGCCGTCGGCTATAAAAGGCTATGAGAAATTATGTAGCCGGCTATGGAAGCTATTGGAAATCTTACGGCCGGCTATAGGTCTATGGTATTTTGGAACACAGATTCTACTGCCGATTTTTACCGGGTGGGACATTGTGAATATTTTTCTTCAAAGTTTCCAGACAACTTTGTTCGAAATTTAATCTAAAATATCTGAAAAGTTCGAAGAAAAATTGGCATAACTCTCCTAAAAAATAACGTTTCGTGCTAGGAAATTTGGCAACTCTCGAATGTCCATAAGCGTTCTTCCTTGGCACGGCGGATTATTGCACCGGCGAAAATATTCAAGGGAACGGTCTAGTGATGACGGGGAATTTGAGAAGCCATCGGAATGAGATCGGGGGGGGGGGGGGAACTCAAGATAAGCGGCGCTCCTTTGATTGATTGACAGAGATCGATGGATCAGATGCCGAAGCTTATACTGCCGTGCTAAGGAAGAACGCCGTATGAACCTTCAGGTGTTGCCAAATTTCTTCTGACAAATCACTCATTTTCAGGAAAATTTGTGAATGTATATCTACCAATTTCTCAGATAATTTTGTTTGTTATTTGATCTAAAACACCTCAAAATTTCAAGGAAAAATATTAAAAATTTTCCTCAAAAATAAACATTTTACCGAATGAAATTTGGCAACTCTCGAATGTTCATACGGCGTTTATTCTTAGCACGGCAGTATAGGATCTTTTCGACTCCGATCCGACCCGACACTGCGTTGCCTGTCATGTCGTCGCTTTCTGTCATAAACGCGTCCCTTCCTTCCCGTATGAGCCCTCGAAAGGATGGAGTTGTATGAACAACAGGACTTGAGAGGACATGAAGATAAGTTCTTATATCGAGGGGGCGACGATATTTGCAGCGGTGGTGTGTCGTGCTTTGCGATGTATCGATTGATGACATTCAAACATGTAAAAAGATCGATTATCAGGGTATTTGCAACGAATACCATAATAATCGATTCTTTCCCATAGTTTTAAATGGGTTAATATCGATAGTCGATTATCACGTTTCGCCACTGCGTGTTACGTTATCACTACGGCGCGGATCAGTCTCCTAGGTCAACAATGACGGGTTAAGGAAGTGGATGCGATGCATGCTGTTAAGAGATCAGTTAAGAGGAGTCTACAGGGTGTCTATAGGAATCTACAGAGTGTCTATAAGTTGGAATGCCACATTGCAGTAGCGTTTTCTACGGTGATAATAGGGCTTTTTTCCTACGCTGGAAAAAAAAACACATTGGATCTAGAGTCCAGACTCTGGAAAACATTGACAAGAAAAAATACTCTTGATTTCAATCAGATCTAAGCTTAAATCAAAAGAAAATCCGCTCAAATTAAGAGGCTGGGTTCTTAATTTAAGCTTAAATCTGGTTGAATTAGGAGTATTTTTTCTTGTCGATGTTTTTAAGAGTCTGGACACTAGATCCAATGTGTTTTTAAATCCCCAGTGTACTATTTTTCCTCTTTGTTCCTTTTCCCCCAAAATGAGCCTGTTGCGGAAACTCCAGCTCGAGTGAGAAGAAGAGTTTTTTTCTGTACAAAATGGCTCGAAAATCAAGATGACGCATCGGAAAAGTCTGAAATACACTCCTAATTTATTAATCCGAGTGAGAAATATGCGTTTTTTAAGCTTCTCGTTACTTTTTAAAGAGCCGTAGCTCCAACTGGGAATGCAATTGTCTTACTGCATACTCGCACAACTTCAGGACTTCAATCTTTTCACTTTATTTTGAGAATGAGAATCATAAATATTTAGACCCTACAACGTTAGATGAGAAATTGCAACAAAACTCATTAATCATAACTGACAGCAGTGAGACCTTGAATTTATCACCATGATAGTGCTGTAGAACAATCAATTTTTGCGAGGGGAATTAAAAAATAATATGATTCATTCCTGGCATAAATAAAGTGCAACAATCTCGATAGAGGTTCCGTGGAATTCACTTCTTGATTGTGATTATACGCAAGCTGCTGACCACTGTTGCCACATAGTGCTAAAAATCAGCACAATCCCCCATTTAAACCCATGTAAAATATCTACTTATGATCGTACAAACTGGCACTCCTGGCAGTCTTGCTGCAGACAGAAACTGAAACAACGACATCTTCGTCTATTTTCATTGGATATTTTTTACTTATTACGAACCTTGAGGATAGCAGCTTGACATGACCGCAAGATACATAGAAAAATACATTACAGTCTCCAGTTTCTGCAACTGACTTCCACATTATCTAAAAATGTCCTGTTTTCTGTGTAAAATTTGCTGGAAAAATCCGATTATTAAACATTAAAACGTAACTGAAATTTTTGTTGATTTCTTTCCTGATCGCACGCAAAAATCAGAAAAATGTTGTGGGGAAATTAAACAGGTACATTCTTATTAAAAATTGAAATGCTCCAATGAATTTGGCAACCTGGGAATGGAGTTACGTTCTTTCGTCCGGGAGACGACGATTTTTATTCTTATAACCCACTTATTACGTCGTCTCCCGGAGAGCCTAACTCCATTCCAACGTAGCAAAATTGACACAATAACCTAATTTTTCACACGAATGTACCTGTGCCATATTGTGATCCAAAATTTGTCTGATTTTTGCTTTATGTTAGATGAAAAATTACTAAAATTTTCAGGTAGAAATAACCAAGATTTTCGAGGTGGTAATGCAATTTGCGGGTGGAAATTGGGCAACATTGAAATGCACTTAAGTTCTTTCGCAAGGGAAACTACGATTAGACATAGGATATTAGACTTATTTGCCCTTACCACCTCTTCCTCCTCCCATCATCCCAGCAAACAATTTCTGGCTGAGTCGCTGAGCGAGCAACCACCCTCCGTACAAAAACAAAATTCCTCCGGAAAAAGCGCTCAAGAACCGAATGGTTCCCTGCGCACCCCTGGCACATCTTAAAAACTACCCCCGTCTCCCGGCAGCGCGCGTGGTTGGGGGAGGGGGGAGGCGGGGTGCGAAGTTTTGCCACTCTTCAAAAAGTTGTCTTTTCGAGTGCTACCTCTCTAGTCTCCGACACGTTATCGGCTCCTTGTTTCACTCTCTCGTCACGTAAAATTATCAGCCGCCGCACAGTGGTATTCACTGAAAACGTATGGCTTTAACCGGGCGGAGGAATGGTAAATTCAATCATGAGTCTACTTTACTCTGGTCACAGTGAGACTGTATAGTAAGGATAACGAGACATCTGGTAGCATTTACCATAATTGAATCGGTTTCTGTTAGACGGGCGTATAAGTCCGAAAACTCGTGAGCACTGGCTCTCGTTGATCACGCAGGACGTTAGGGCTCACGAATTTTTGGACTTAAGCCCGTCTAACAGAGACCGATTCAGTTTTGGTGAATGGAGATGTTGCATGGGTGATGAATTTGCGATTTGACCACTGGTTTTTACGTAAAAGTTCGCGAGAAACACGATGGTGCCACTCGTTTTCTCTGAAATTAACTCCCAAGCTCAAGAAAAGCTCTCAAGTTGAGGCCAAAATGGAGGGGATATCCCACGCTATCCTGAGGGTTCACCTCTACATCAAGACAAACTCTCCATGCAAAGATAGGGAGCAAATAAATTGACAGGGTTGCTACTTTGTTTGGGGACTCCACGACTGGAAACAGGGCAACCCTGCTAATGTATTTGCTCCCTATCTTTACATGGAGAGTTTGTCTTGATGTAGACGTGGACTTTCAGGATAGCGTGGGATATCCCCTCCATTGA